CGCGATGCATCGCCAACCTTCCCCGTCCACAGTAGTGTGGGCGAGGTCTCTGGCAAGGAGACACGGGGCCAGAGGTTGAGCTGATGCGCGGCGTACCGGGCCGCAAACGGCCACAAAAGATGGGGGGCAGCCGCATGGATCATGGAGGTACGAGCGACCTCCATGACTAAGCCAATGCGGCGCTCAGCAACCCCATTCTGCTGTGGAGAGGCCGGAAGCGTGAACGTCTGGCGGATGCCGTGCTCCGTACAGAAGGCTGCCAAGAGGTCTGAGGAGAACTCACCACCTCTGTCAGAGTGCAGACGCAGGACAGGAAAGTCCGTCCCAAACCGCTCGCGGAGCTGGAGACGAACAGCGCGGATCCAAGGGATCAAAACATCAGGGACCTCCCCCTTGCGCTGCAAGGGGAAGACCGTGGTGTAACGCGTGTAGTCGTCGACGACCAGCAGGAAGTGCCGCTCGTGGCCCTGTCCACGGACGCGGGCTGGGCCCCACACGTCCAGGTGGAGAGTCTGCAGGGGAGCCTCTGTGGGAGGGAACGAGGGGGAGTGAGGAGCGGCGCGCTGCCGCCCCTCGACACAGAGAAGACAGGGAGGAACAGGCGAGGGTGGGAGGGGAGGGAGAACCCTGGGAAGACCAGAGACAAGGACACGGCGGTGCATGCTACGAAGGCGCTGCACCGAGGGGTGACCAAGGCGGTGGTGCCAAAGGAGGGTCTGGTGCGACAAAGCGCGACATGAGCAGGGGGCCGCTACCTGTCCTGACGCAGACGCAGACGCAGCGACCTGAGGGGACACAGTAGTCAGTGTGTACAAACTCGAGCCAGGCGCACAGGTAAACGTGGCCAGGTGCCGGCCCGTCCGGGAGCACGTACAGTGGGTCACGTGCTGACCTCCAGGAGTGAACTGGTCAACCCACTGGTCCTGGAGGTCAGCACCACTCACCAAGTTCGTAGAGAACGAGGGGAGGTGAAGACCTGACAGGGAGCCAGACGGGACCGCCGGACACGGCAGGACCGTGGAGGAGTGCGCAAGGACTGGACCCCCAGAGGGATCTGCCAGGGAGACTGGAACCGGCCGGCTGAGCGGCGTGAGGGTGGTGCTGTCGCGAAAGAAGGAGCGGGAAGCACCTGAGTCAAGTGTGAAGGTGTACAAGGCCTCAGCAGGCGCAGTACCAGAGAGAGCAGACTCACCAGCACCTGGAGCAGCAGCCTCACCAGCACCTAGAGTAGGAGACGCACGAGCACCTAGAGCAGCAGCCTCACCAGCACCGAGAGCAGCAGGCTCTATACCTGGGTCAGGCGGTACGCACAGGTTACAGGCACGGTCAGCACTAGTAGGCAATGCATACATGGCAGTGAGAATAGCATCATAGTCAAGAGCAAATATATCTACCCTCTGCCCAAGCAGCTCCACCCAGCCGGGGAGCTCAGCCTCGTCGCCAAACTCGGTACGCCAGGCGTCGCTCAGATGGGCGAAGCAGCGGGACTGTGTGTGACTAAGCATCCCACAAGTCTGACCCGTCCGATCACCTGTGCGAATGACGTACGGGCAGCGAACGGTACTCAAAGACCCTCTACTCTGAGCGTACCACTCACGAAGGTGCTGGGGCGTAAGTGTCTCGCGCGGACGCCGCTGCAGGTGCAGCTGGCCACTGCCAGATGCTCCCGACTGACCAGCTCCAGGGCGACAGCCACGACGGCTACCGCCACTACCCCAACTAGCGTACCCCTCATGAAGCTGCTGGGGCGTGAGAGACTCGCGCGGACGTCGCTGGAGCTACATCTGGCCACCGCCAGTAGCAGCAGTAGCAGTAGTAGCAGCAGCAGCACCAGCAGCAGTCTAGCAGTAGTAACAGAAGGAACAGCAGTAGCAGCAGTAGCAGCGCGGGCAGGGCAGGCGCGGCAGGCAGGCAGGCGAGGCAGGCAGGCAGGCAGGCAGGCAGGCAGGTGGCGCTACAGTGCGCGAACAGGGCAGGTGCTCACCAGTGGCGGTCAGGGCCGGCGCTCGGCGGGCGGCAGCCGGGTAGGCGCAGAGCAGGGCCGCGATAGCTGCGGCAGAGCAGGGCCACGACAGCTGCTGCAGGGCGGGGCTGTGACAGCTGCAGGAGGCTCCGCGGTAGCTGCTGCAAGGCGGGGCTGTGACGGCGGCAGAAGGCTCCGCGGCAGCTGCTGCAGGGCAGGGCCGCGACTGTGGCACGGCGCTCCGCGGTAGCTGCTGTAGTAGCGACAGTGGCAGTCAGGCAGGGACGACGTCTAGAGGAGGGGCGTCGCGACAGGCCGGGGCGACGTCCAGGGAGGGGGCGCCGCGACGAACAGGGGCAGCCGCGGCGCGCGGGCTTGCAGCGCGCAACGCGAGCTGCGGGCGCGGCGCGCGAAGCCGCTGCGGGCTGCGCGAGGACGGCAGCCGCGGCGCGCGGGGCTGCAGCGCGACGTGCGGGCAGCTGACGCGACGCGCGGGGCTGCAGTGCGACGTGCGAGGCTGCAGCGCGACGCGCGGGGCTCCAGTGTGACGCGCGGGGCTGCAGCACGCAGCGCGGGCTGCGGACGCGGCGCGCGGAGCAGCAGCGAGCCGCGCGCGAGCTGCTGCAGGGCGGGGCCAGGTGGGGCCGCGTCAGTGGCAGGTTGTGGCCGCGAGGAGGGGCGGCGCTCTGGCCTGACGGGCCTGCAGGGGCGGCTCGCGGGCCTGACGGGTCTGTAGGGGCGGCTCGCGGGCCTGACGGGCCTGCAGGGGAGGCTCGCGGGCCTGACGGGCCTGCAGGGGCGACTTGCGGGCCGTACGAGTTTGCAGGGGCGGCGCGCGGGCCTTACAGGCCTATAGGGGCGGCGCGCTGGCCTAGGGCAGCAGTAGGCAGCGCGAGGGCTGTAGGACGGCGCGCGCAGCGCAGCACGTCACAAGGCAAGGCAGGCAACACGTGGGGTAGCGTGGTAACCGCAACGGTAGGTGGGCCCGGAAAAAAAAGACGGTCCTACGGACCTAGTGCTCTGAAACCATGTTAGAAACTAGCAGGAGGAATGAATGAACTATGAAAGGGTTGGGTACAAGTATGAAACCCTAAAAGGGGCTGTACCCCATATTGGCTACCCCACTACAGCCTAAACATATATAGCATATATATACTTTGACAAGGACAAACTGCCCCGGCCCCGCTCGCTGGGAAAACTCGCTCGCCATGCTAGAGTTCGCGTTCAACAACGCCCCGTCCAGCACGACTAGTCACTCCCCATTTTTCCTAAATTACGGGATTGACCCGACGGTACCTACGACGACGACACTCGACAACCCGGTCCTGAGGTCACAAACATTTGTGACGGAAATTCAGGAAGTTCGCGAGGCTGCGGACGCAATTCGCAAGGCGAATACCACTTCCCGTAAATACACCGACCTTCTCCGACGGGAACTCGTCTTGGCAGCTGGGCAACTAGTGCTACTTGACAAGAAGAACATGCACCTGCCCGGCCCATCGAAACTATGGCCACAATTTTGTGGGCCTTTCAAGATCATCAAGATGGTGATACCTGTCACCGCGAAGCTGCTGCTACCCGACGACTGGCGTATACACGACGCCTTCCACGTCAGCCTCCTTCGCAAGTTCGTGCCTGCCACGACAGACATCGCGCGCCAGAATGCCGCCCCGACAGCCCGACCTGTCCCAGAACCGACACTTGACCCGTCCAAGATTTTGGCGCATCGTATTCGGCTCGACGCTTCTGGACGCCACGTGGATTTTCTAATCCGCTGGACTGGCCGCACCAGTGAGGATGACACTTGGGTGCCATCCGCCTTGCTTGAAGCTACTCCGCTTCTTGGTGATTACCTCACCCGCAAACGAGCTGCGGATATTGACCACCTTTCTTAAAGGGGGGGGGGGGTAATGTAAGGAAAAACCCTTTTCCTTACAGGGGTTTACTCAACCGCGTACAACCCCAACTTTCGGAAGTGCACGTTCGGCCACTTTGCTTGCTGCCGAAGCAACCTCGCGTCACCTTCGGCTTTTCCTTTGCCCAACCTGCACCCAACCTCGTGTTCCGGAGGTTCCTGCCTAGCTAGGTTGACCCACTATATTAGCGCTTGCCTTCATTGTATTGTCAGTTCATTGAGTCACATCTTCGTTATTCGTTATTCCGCGCACTCTCTTTTACAACTCATAATAGTTTTGCTTATTCTTGCTCGGTTTTGAGTGATTCAATGCTCGTGAAGGCGTCCTGTACAGGGCTCTCGTTATCAGTGTAATTTACACTGCTATACTGATTAGAAGGGTGAAATTTAGGGACTGCACTGCTGAGTTTGGGAATTTTTTTGGGGGATTAGTGTTACGTTGCTATGTAAGTGTAACGATTTAGTCCACATTGATGCTCTAAGGTAATTTTTCCCTTAGCAAAGATTACCCTGAAGAGCGTACACGGAACCACCCCCCTCCCTCCCCCCCCCGCTCCCCCGTCTTCGAAAGCTCTACTTATCGATACGAAGTTTCCTAGAAATTTCGTAATGATACACCAGCACGTGAGTACTGACAACCGACACCGCGTCACTCTGTGTCTGCTTGCAACCTACCCGTTACTGTAGAGGCGATGCAACCTGGTTGGTCGAAGCTGCACTCACTGTAAGAACTACTCGAATCGGAAATTTGGGACTCGAGGTCCCCAAACACACGTTCCCCCTAAGAAGCTTGCCGACTCGGCGAAAAAAACAAGTGTTTCAGCGAAACCAGACAAGCCACTGCGCTCGACTTTTAAGTTCACAACATATCACAAGTGTTGCTGCCAGCACATATTGAGCTGCCTAGAGTACAATCACGGCAAAGAATATACATACACCGATGCCTCTGGGTAAAGTTATCAAAACTTCAAGTTACACTGATCCATCAGTGTTTCCAAAAAGGGCACGCTGCTAATAGTGAGTAGGCAAAATCCAAAACTAAGCCCTGGTCCCGTACACCCATGTGATGTGAAGTGGTTCAAATCTCAATTGAAGTCTAAACCCTGGATAAAGAAGACGATGTCATAAATGGAGGAGACAATGACATGAATGGGGAGGCGATGATGTGGACAAAGACGAGGATGATGTGGAGAGATGCGACGATGACGTGGTCAAAGGAGATGATGATGTGGACAGATGCGGCGATGACGAGGACATATGTGGGGATGACGTGAACAGAGGCAGGGATGACGTGGGCAGTGTCGACGACACCGGGGACAGAGGCGGCGACGAAGTGGACAGAGGCGAGGATGACGTGGACAGAGGCGGGATGACGTGGACAAATGCGCCAATGTCGAGGACAGAGGCGGCGATGACGCAGACAGAGGCGGCGACGACGCTGACGGAGGCGGCGATAATGCAAACAAAGGCGGCGATGACGCTGACGGAGGCGGCGATGACGCAGACAGAGGCAGCGATGACCTGGAGAAAGGCGACAATGACCTGGACAAAGGAGGTGATGACCTAGACGGGAGGGCTGGGGGGAGGGGGGGGAAGGGGGGTGGGTGACACAGAAAGAGGCGACGACAACATGGATAGAGGAGACGATGACGCGGACAGAGGCGGCGATAACGCGGACAGAGGCGGCGATGACGCGGACAGAGGTGGTGTTGATGCGGAGGGGCGGCGGTGATCGGGACAGAGATGGGGATAACATGGACAAAGGCGGCGATGACGCGGACAAATGCCGCAATGATGCAGACAGAGGCGGTCTGACGCGCACAGAGGCGGCGATGATGCGGACAGAGGTAGCGATGGCTTGGACAGAGGCGGCAATGACCTAGACAGAGGCGCCGACGACATGGACAGAGGCGGCAATGACCTGGACAGAGGCAGTGATGATGCAGAAAGAGGCGGGTATGTCGTCCACGTGATGCATATTGCACATGTGCCATGTAATAGATAACGCGATGCTCGTCTCGCAGGACGACTTCACCAAATCCTCTTGGAGCAAAGTTCGTGCACCCAGGAAAAACCTCGCCTACCAGTTACTTGGTTGACCAAAAAAGGCCATTGAGTCGGCGCCCGATTGACAATAGATCGAAGCTCGTAGGTCAACGCCATGTCGACGATCAATTTCGACGACCGGCGAGGCTTGACGCCGTCTGCCAACTTCACTTCGTCGCTCAGCGTCGAAGTCGGCTTCGCTCAAGTCGACTTCGATGAACTCGGCTTTGCTGCGGTCGGCTTCGCCGACTTCGACTAACCAAACCCGCCGACTTTCTCCTACAAGTCGGCGCTGACCACAAAGCTTAGCTGGCTTCACTCCTTGCGCATAGGTCAGCGAATTCAACCTTGCTCAAGCGAGGGCGGGGCCTTTTCTCGTCACGAACTTCGCCCCAGGCGGCTTTGGCGAAATTCGACATGCGGGACGAGCATCACCCACTCTACAACCTGGCACGTGTAGTTTCGGGCAATTCAACGCTCTTGAACGCGTCCCATGCACCCACGTGCACCAAATCGTTCAAATCTTGAAGGGATGTTGGGAAAACCATGTAGTATTCTAATGAAAAAAAAGTGAAGGTTAAGTAAACAAGCAGGGCATGAAACGTTTGCAACTAGTGTTTAGGCTTATCCTTGTACGGTTGCAGGTCATTCGACTCTTGAGATGACGTCCCGTGTACCCACGTGCTGCAAGCTGGTTCAAATTTTAAGGGATGCTAGAAGTTGTTGGAGTAAGCGGGAATTAAATAAAGCGTTCCCGAAGGTGCAGCCGTCAAACCCGCTACTAACGAAGCAACAACAACAGCATTATCAGATCAGCCCATACAGGGCAGGAAGGTCGTCGCAAGGTCAACTGTCGCGACTGTTGACCAACTGAACTAACGGTTACACACGAAGAATGGCAATAGGCGTAACTGTCTGTACACTTACATGTAGTGACCCGATAATAAGAGAAGAGCAGAAGCTACTCTAGAAATGCCTGCAAATATACTAAGGGAATGTACCCCTTAGAGTACATAGCTAGCTAGATATATTTATTGTTTGTGATTTTCTCTATTAATCAATATTGTCATCTACATTCACTATGCACAAGATTCTTACCAGTACCAATGACTTCCGCTACCATCTCTAGAAGGCTTACTCTATCCAAGGAACCTTCTCCCAACATGGTACGAGAGCTGGTTTGGATTATAAGATCTACTGAGACATCGTTCCTCAAAACGATCCTAACCATTTTAAATACCTTACATCAGGCCCTCATATTGGATTCAGGGGACCCTGACCCATCAGGGCAGTTCCCTAAAAAAAAAAAAAAAAAAAAAAAAAAAATGCCCTGATTCATAAGTGCAGAAGTGCTTTCAGGATCCTGATTTGTGAGTGTAAAAACTAGAATAATCCTGCCTTATCAGGATAATATATGTAGTTTCCTGAAGTTGGTTACATAAAGCTTTTATACTTTGAGGCATTTCCATCCTCTCACATCACATTGCAGGTAGTAGAATAATAATGGAATTTCATTGATTCGGAAACAACGGAGGTATAATCGTCATTTTTTTCCACCTAGCATCCTCCTCCACATCATCACTATCACTAAATCATGCAGCATCATCTGAGCCATGGGCCCCATGGTCGGCCTTCTCCTGCTGCGAGTCACTGTTGCCTTTGCCACCATCACCACCACCACTAAACACGCTTGTTTGCGGCATCAAAGGGATTGCCCTTACGCTTAGTTGGGTGGCGCTTCTTCGTGCTGCGCCACTGCTCCACGACGTCTCTCCACTCGGCGTCGTACTCCAGCAAGCTCAGAGTCATGAGATCCCCAAGCTTCGCTGCCAACTTTTGATGATGTTTTGTTGGGAGAAGCCGCGTTCGCACTCCATAGTGCTGATCGGCAACACAGCCACTGCTACCCATAGCCGCACCAGGTTGGGGTAGCTCCTCGGCCAGTCAGCAGTGGCCATCATCGCCTTCAGGCCGGCATGAAAGGGCTGCTTCTCCTTTGGCGCCCCAGAAAGGACCGACAAGAAGGTCCGCATCTCCTTTGCACTCTTGCTTAGTCACATATGCTGGAAGGGACAGGTGATGGATAGCAAGTACAACAAAATAAGCGATGGCCTGTTGACGTTTCATGACGCTAAAACCAAAACCTGGACTTACGCATATAACAAAAACTAATATGAAGTTTGAGTTCTTAAAACAGACTCACCTGGTAGAACTTCCTCTCGCTCGCACGCATGGAACATGATGAAGAGGCCGTCCAGATGCTCACGGAACTCCGCGTCTCTCGCCTCTCTTCCACGCGGCCATAAGCGGGGCATGTAGAGCTTCGCACAGTTGACGGTTGACAGACTGCCGAGGCGGAAGTCAAGATTGTAGGTTAACTCCATCGCGAATGACCGACATGTCCGCACGTACGACTGGATGTCCCCCGCGCTGGTGGTAGCCTGGAACAGTGTCTCCGTGCAGAGTAAACACATGGGTGCACGGCTGACCATCACTGTCCACTCCTGCCACCCGCACGTGCACGGCGAGCTATGCCGTGCGAGAAACAGCGACAACTTCGTGCTTGCACCGGCCCTGAACTGTTGACCGCAATCGATGTAACGCTCTCAGAGGAACACCAGAATCCGCCGCACCTGGGATTGCACAGCCATGAAGTCCATCTGTGGGTTGGGGAGGGGAGGGCGCGGAAAGGAGAGCACAACAGAGAAGAGAATAAGCATAAAGAAACACAAGCATACACATGTAATCGATGACAGCAGATTACCTCGCGCTTCTGGAACAAGAGGTTGAGCATGTTCAGCTCGACGTGAATGTCTGCAAGGAAATGGAGAAAGAAGTGGAACTTCAGGGATGTCACCACCGGTACATCGTGCCGTCCAGCCGCTCAAGCAGGACCACCACCGCCTGGAAAACCTTCACGAAACGAGCGATGGCGTCTCCGCGGCTCAACCACTGGACGTCATGGATACCCTGCACCTCCAGGTTCGTCTGCGAGAAGATCTTCTGCAGTTTGTGGAAAGTTTTGTGAGAGTTGCTGGAGCGTCCGAGATGTCCAGCCACTACTCGAATGATAGAGTCGACGATGCCGAGTCCAGGTAGGGCGGTCGCAGAGTCTTTGGCAGCGAGTGCCTCCCTGCCAAAGGTGTGGACATAACACAGACGAATTAGCGAGTGCAACGTTTAATGTACAACAACAAGAGACATAGCAAAACGATGCATACCGGTGTGCCATGCAGTGAGTAGACACCAGATGGGGAATGCTTAGGCGAAGCCGCGCAAAAAGACCAGTACTGCCGCCGATCATCACCATGGCGCCATCGGTGCTGATTCCCGCGATCTTGCTTGATGCTGTAGCTCCTTCCTCCCTGCATCACCATACTCCATACAGATAGTACACTTCATAGAAGGAAACCCGTAAGACGTCTGGCAAATAACGAGCCAAGGAAAATCAGTAGTCCACGCCTTATTGAAATTGAATAGCGCTTCCTGGTACTGATTCTCAGCGATGTTGGGCAACTCTGTGTCGGCGCAAGCAGCGGGGCTGGCTGGTAAGAGAACCGTACGGGTCGCCTCGGTGGGTTGGGTTTAATCTTGCTTGGGTGCCACGGATGTCCGCTCGAAGGAGATTTTGGTCTGGTGGTAGCGTGGATTTGCCAGCTTCTTGGAAGGGGGTCCCACACGGATAGACCCTTGCAGGTTGCACGCGAGCATTCGCCCCATGTACGAATCGGCGGTGGGAGATTTGAGTTGTCGTCAACAACCTCAGTAATTAGAGCTGAAGGAACTGCTGGCAAAGGGTCTGCTGGCGAAGGGTCTGCTGGCGATGATACTGCAGGTGGAGGTATTGGTGGCGACGGTACTGACGGCGGAGGTTCTGCTGGCGACGGTACTGACGACGACGGTGCCACTGGCGACGGAAGGGCTGTCGAGGGTACTATTGGCGAGGGTACGACTGGTGTAAAACACAAGAAGTTGAGGCCCGTTAAGGGCTGAACAGTTGGAGTACGGTCAGGCATGGCGGGGGCTTCACCATCGCCCTGTGGCAACGGTGAAGCCATAGGCGATTTGTGCTACGGAAACATCGTCTGAGATACGATGTCGAGGAGGTAAACAAACTAACAAGACTGAAAGTAGATCAGGTTCCCCCTTGTAGCAAGAACGGGTTGAAGCAGGAGATGGAGGAACTGCTGGCGAGAAGAGGAGGGGATGGACCGGAAACCCTCATTCTGAAGAGTTCCACAGTCAACCACCATGGCGCCCCGGCGACAGGTGTGGACGAGGTTGGCCGAGAGGCTGTACCCGCCTTTGATGGCCAGGGGGGCGGCGCATGGTAAGGTCTCATGCATCCGCTGCAAAGTTACCATGCGGGGCGTGGGTTTCTTGCTGCGGCACTGCCTGATTGATCTGTTTGATCTTTTTGTACAGTGGTGCGCGAGGAGATGCTGTACAGCGGTGCTGTTTTTTATCATCGCGCACCGCACGCCACGAATGTTGCGCTGTACCCCTGTCGGTGTTTCTATATCTAGTCCAGGATTTTGTTTGGGCAGTATAGGCTAATTCATGGTATTTTTCAATAGGATTCTGATGGGTCAGGTTTTGGGGTACACTGAAATCCTGAATTCACGGGATGGAAAAACATACAAATACTGATTGCTCAAGCTGAAACTTATACAAATATTGAAAAATCAGTCCTGGAGCTCCATACAGATC